TGCTTGTTTGGCATGCGTTAGAAAGACACATAGCTGTTCTCAGTCCTTCTCTTCAGACTCTTGAAACGCTTGCAACTGCTTTGCAAGAGCAACGGCTCACACTTCCTACGCAACTGATAGACCGCATAATTGAGAACATTAACATATCGCAGTATGTGTTGTATTACTTCTAGGGAAGATCATACTCTATATTGATGGTAATTTTTCTATACCAAAGTGACACACCCGATTTGTTGATTTTATACATATGCTAATTTCTATAACAACATAATTGTCTGGTTATTCCTTTTCATGTTATTTTATACCGTACTACTATTTGTTGCATACTGTGGGTTAGTTTCATTAAATTTTGTGCGTAACGTTTTGAGCAATCATAATTTTCGTGATTTTTTTCTTAATTTATGATAACCAGTGTGTTTTATGAAGGTACTGCAACAGTTTTATGAGAACTCATATGAAAATTTGAAAAAGTCTCACAGGATAAAAATTTGTGACCAAACTTCAAATTTAGTACGGCCGCAATATATTTTTCAAAACATCTTATGATTGTGGTAAATTTATATATAGATTAGAAATTCTGAACATAAAAATCCATTTAAAAAATATAATAAATTTTTATACAATACAGCAAGGCAAAATAGCGACTTTCATTCAACGACTAAGTAAATAATTTATGTATATTTAAACCAGATTTCTTTTAAATATGCAATAAAGCAAGGCACATATATTACACATTTAAGAATGCATTCTTAGATATTGTGAAATTTTAATGTTATTTTATTTTTAAGTAAAGAAATATATAAAGAAGCACATATTAATTTTTCCTAACTACAATGTAGAAATTAAGCCTCAAAAAGTTAATTATTCGCTGCATGTCTTGCGAATATGTACTGGAAAAATACGCATACTAACATGTTATGATATTATAATTAAGCTGTTTATGTATAATCATGAAAGCTATTTATCCGTATAATGGAATAGATCAAATTCTGTTCTGAATCCATTATTTAATCCGTTTTCGAGAAAGGTAACCTATATTCTGTCCATTCATACAAGATGCCACGCAAAACATCGTTCAGATGGATTCGAGAGCGATCAAAATGTATATTTTCATTGAAATATGATACCCGAAATTTTTCGCGGTTATAACACTTCCTTTACTTCTTATAAGAAAGTAAAAAGGGTTTTAGTATTTAATGAAAGTTACGCATTTGCTCTAATAACAATGCATTTAAAATACATCTATACTATATAGTCTAATTTACTAAATAATAAATTTATTTCTGTTACGTGCCTCAAATATTTTGAAAAAGGTTCAAGTACACATTTCAATTTTAATGACAATTTTCGTATCAACCTGTTCAATAACACAATTTATGCCCACTAATTTGAAGGAAAAATGTATTATATTAAAATATTTATAAGGTAAAATGTTAGGCCTAAATTTATTGACAGCCATTTTAACATTATACCTACTTAACTAATATTTATTATTTAAAAAAAACCTTAGATGAAAATTACGTAAATCCATGTTTGTCTCTCAAACTGGTAAACAGATAATCAAGAATGAACAACAACGCTTTGATGGCAAACATTTTATTGAAAAACAACAAGCACCATAGTATTTTTGGCCAATTTATTTACATATATACAATATTTGCATAGGTTTGATGCACTACACTTTCTCTTAATTAGTTATATCCTGCATATATGTTTTCTACATATCTGAGTCTGTTGTATATTAATTTCTAGCTATGCAAGAGCATTTGAAAACACATAATTTTAATGATCCACAATAACTATACATATTATCCATTATAATGGAATGACAGCATCGATCTACATTATACTGGCATCTTTAGAAAAGATGGAAACTTATAACTGCTGATATCTCCAACTCTTCGTCTAATTCATTAAAGACATTAATTCCTTAGAATTTCTGTCATCGAAGTAGGACTTACTTGCAGTAACGTTTTCTTTCATAGTTAAACGATTTTATCCCTTACTTTTTTTCATTAAATGTTTCAGAATTTATTGCGCACAGTACTTATACGGGCTTAACGTATCATCTAAATATACATTTTAAAAAGATTATAACTGCAAATTTATTTTGAAAGCGGGAATTTGTGATTTACTATAAGTTACGATTATTTATAAACCAAGAGCTGCAATTTATTTTTCAGCAACTTCGAAAAGACGATACGAAAAGACAGTACTTAAGATTGAGAGCTCATAAAACAGTTTGATAGCAGAAAAGTTGAAAACCGTATGTGCAGTTAATTCCAGGTATAATTGAATTATAAATTAAAACAGAAAAATAACAAACAATCTAGAAATTAGGCGATAATTATCACATTATTCCCAGAGAAAAATTATAGTTTATTAGCCACTAAACCTCACATAACGGTTAGAAATTATATGACTTACATAATTAACTCACAATATATTAATAATTCATAAACTGCATTTAAAAATGTAAGCATTCACATCGAAAAACAGAAAATGAACTGGAAATTGGAGTGTATGTATTATATATACACTGACTATCAATAAGTATTTGGACACCTATGCAAATGACGATATCTGCGGTCCCAAGGTACGCCACAGACTCCGCCGGTATATATCGTGTAGGAAACAGCATCGGCTGTAGTCGCACTTTCCAACCAATACAACAGAGATAGTAAAATGACAAAAATACTGAAAATAAAATAATATATCATGCAGTTTTAACTTACCTATGAAAGGTTACAAGTCTCCTTTCACGAAACTTTCTTTACATCCGTAGGCGCTGCAGCGAATAACCATTTTTACTTAAATTTTATGTGACCAAGCAGAGCAGCAGTCTTTCGTCCCATAGAAAGCAATGTAAAGTATTTTCGCACTTTCGGAATTCGCGCAGCAGTTACGTGACACTAATGTTGGAACCGGTTGAGGGTTGCAATACGCTCTCTACCAGTATATTTATCTCGTTGGTTGGACCCCTGTTACTTTCAGGACGACAATGCCAGTTGTCATGTTTCGACGTTAACCAAGGCTTGGTATGGTGCCAATGGAGTTCATCGAATGGACTGGCCTGGCCAGAGTCCAGACCTGAACCCTATCGAGAACCTTTGGTACGAGTTGCATCGCCGAATTCAGGGGTGCACTACCCGTGCAAAATCAGTGAAGGAACTTCTATGTCTTCTCCAAGCCGAGTGGAAGAAAATACCACTAGCTGTTATACAAAGACTTGTGGAAAGTATGCCCCGGAGGGTCTACGCTGTAATTACCTCTCGTGGAGGTCCTACCAACTATTGATTTTGAATAAAGTTAGTTTTTTTTTCTATCACCAGGTATCCAAATACTTATTGGTAGTCAGTGTAGTATATTCGAATGCTTCTCCTTCAAAAGGCTGCGAATTTTTAAACTAGATAAGTAAAATTTAAAAGTATAGCAAACGTACGAGAAGATTACAAATATAGTTACATCGGAATATAAACTCTTATGAGCAGGATGTAGCATATTTGAATCAACAGTGCAATAATATACATAATAATAAAAAATAAAAACTAACGACTCTAAATGATGACATTATAATCTTCATTTAATCTCTAAATATTTACTAATTTTTCCCTTTCAAAAATAATAAATGAATATAAAAAAAAAAGAATTAAAACAGAAATAATCTCTGAACATTTAATAGATAAATCAGAAATTTCGAACACATCATATATACACCTTGCACAAAAGAGACAATTTTATATCTCCCGTTCTAATGGGCGCATTGACAAAATTTAACTTGGGTTTTTTATATCGCGAAGGCGCGACTTATGATATATATCACATTTATACATAGCTTTGTTGTAACATAGGTATTTTGACAAAAAATCGGACTTTTCCGGAAATGCCGCTTTCCCCCCCCCCCGCACACACCCACACATTTCGATTCTCAATTATGCTCAAATATTAAATTTTGTAAAATTTGTTGAGAAACTTACAGATAAATTTAAAAATTTATCTTGGCGCGCTATTTTCAGTTTGCGCCAAGAATAATTCACTTAGCGAAATTCTTAATTTACAGCAACCTACTTTCCTTTTCCTTTTTTCTATGTACACGAGTGGAAAAATGGTGCATCTTTCATACTTTCAAATAGTTTTAAAAAAGCGCATTTGGCAATTTTATCGCTTATAACAAATATGCCAAATTTCAAAGCGCGCAAATATATAAAATCACTTATATCTTTGGAAAATTTGAATGCAAAACTAATTTTTTGCAGGTATGCCTAGGAATACATGTCCTTTAAGATGATGGTAAAAATTTGATGGCTTATAATTCAAAATGTTTTTCGAAAAATTTATAAAAATTACTAAAAAATAAAAATTCTAAAAACAAATAAGAAAATACACATGAAATTTATTTAGATTGGACCTAAATTTCGAATTGCGAAAGAAGAAACCCAAGTAAGTAATAAAAAAAGAGATATTAATATAACATTGAGAAGGTAAAATTGTGGTGCTCATAATAATTTTTACAAAATTGGCACTTTGACATAATTTGAGTCGTAGAATCGAAATATGAAAAAAATAGGTATGTCATTTCAGAAAAAGCCCGATTTGGGGTCAGAATATCTATGTTAGAATAATGCTATATATAAATCTAATATATATCCTAAGTCGCGATTTCGAGACATGAAAATTGCAAGTTAAATTGCGTCAGTAGGTCCAGGGAGTCAATCGAACGGAAGACACAGAATTGTCCCCCCCCTTTTTTTTTTGGTACAAGGTTGTACACTTTAAAATTCCAAAAGCAAATAAATAGCCATGTATGCATTTTTGAGGCAATAAAACAAAAATGAAAAATATGGATATCTTTAAATCTCATGATATTTCATATTAAAATAACTGAATATATTAGTAAGGAAAGAGAGCCTACGTCTTGGCCATTATTTAACACGAAACGTAATAGTTTACATTATTTTACCTACGTATAAGCACTGAGCACCAATGAAAGCACACTGAAATATTATTTGCAAGGGATTTATTCTAATGTGAGAGAAAGTACACTATTCAAAGTTTACGCATTTATATACATACTACAGAAATACAAAGAACCTAACCAGTATTTGTAAAACTTTTTTAAAAAGTTCAACTGTAAATCATGACATATAAAATATAACAGAAGTTAAACAGCCTACTTAATCAATTACCGAAGAATTAAAACCATACATATTTAAAAGTTAATTATTTAGTCTATAATATAAACAGTTAAGAGTCTATTTTATATACTAAATAACCATTCATCCAAAGTCAACTTTAAAATAAGTAACAGAAGCTTTAATTCAGATCTAGAACTTTTCAATGTTCTAAAATGTCCTTATGAGGGCATTTTATTAAAACCTTTGAGAAGTTATAAAAACAAATCATCCATTTTCGGCCATTGATTAAAATTATTTACATTTAGTTATAAAACTTAGGATTCAGACATGAGTTGCAGGAAATAATTTTTATTCTTTTCCATAAAGATAGGACATTTCTTGAGTACTGATTGTCAGATATTGGTTACAACACAGAAACATAACAATCACAAATATTTTAACACATATAGGAATTTTATAAATAATATAAATATTTCACATCACAATATTTAAAGGACTCTCTTATTACCATAGCATCCCTTATATTCATTTACTTTATTTATTTTTTAAGTTACATAATTTCAGATCTGAATCAGCAGTCAAGCAAATTAAATTCTATTATTTAACATCTACTGAAAACAGAAACCGTGGCAGTGAGCTATACTTCAGTTAAAGCATAAGAATGTTCTTTATCTGCATATACAAAATATCACAGAGCCATAATCAGTTACAAGCCATCATAGTATGATAAATCTTCGTTCATAATCAACATGACAAAGAAAGTACGAAGTCGCACTATAATTATCCAAGAGCAGTTTCATCAGTAGAGGAAATTATTGTCAACAATTTCCAAATCACCTCTAAGTTGAAAATTTGTACTTTTAATATATCACTGAGCTGCAATGTCTGTAAGTCATGAAAGGAACGAAAGGTGTTAATTCTTTAATTATTATCTAAATATTGATTCAACAAAGACAACCAAGAGAAAATTCGTAAAAATCTCTGTCATTTGAGAAGAGGAAGAAGTTCATATGAAATATATGCGCATAAATTTTAATAATATTATTATAACTCAGATTTTTTATGGACATTTCAGTCGAATAAAATCTGCATTAGTACTGTCTGATCAATGCTAATACGAAACTTCGCTTTTACTAGTTAATTTAGTGATGTATGTTGTAATATTCTCATTTATGTATCTCTTTTTTATAACTAAATAATAAGCTATAAAAACGTAAACCTGCTAATTTAATAAAACTGTAAAGATTTGATTTTATTATTTTAGCTGGAAAAAGTAAAATGTTCCTACTTTACTAACCCAACCATTTACTTAATTTTATGATTACATAAGTCTGAATCGCGCAGGCTTGTTTATAGTCAGAATTACCGCAGGAGGTCAGTGTTATATCTTGTGAAAAGGTTAATAACTGAAACAAAGGAAAACTATTTTTTAAAGCAGATGTAGTTAACGCTGTTTAACAAAAGTTTTTTTCTTTTTAATTTGCTAAGAGGGAACCATTATTTCATCATAAAAGCATACATCCTATAACTCATTTTTTAAAATGCTCATGTAGCTCATGATCAATGATTGTTTTCAAATCGACTTCCAATAATAAACACAACATACATAATAAAACTGATCACTTATAGTTTCTTCATTCATCCTCAATAACGATGTATTCTCGTCTAGGTGACCGCTTGATCTTGATTTGGCCAATTAAATAACAGATTATCCCGGTGACAAGAAAAAACAATAAAATGCCGAGTTTCAAAGCTACGGAGAAGTAATTTGCATAGGAGTAACACAGAAAAAATCCAAGAAAGCTCCAAAAGAAAAAGTTTGAGAAAGCTGCTTCTCTGTCGTTGGGGAACATCAAACCATAGAGAGCTGTAAAATAAAGAAAGATGCATGAAAATTGCATATGATTCATCAACATTTCAAAATTCTTAAAAAAAGAACTCATTAATAAAGATTTATTTCTAGGTAATTATTAAAAGTAAGTCATTATCATTTAAAGAGTAATTTATTTTAACAATTTATTTCCATTTAAGGTATAGCAAAATCCTTATTTCTCAAGATTTTATGAACTACAATTAGGCATTTCCCACGATGAATCAATAAGTTTAATACAGTACTTTTCTTGTAATTATAAAAGCTTTATCATTATTAAACAGAAATTAGTGCATAAGAGATCTACAAATGTTTCCTAGTACATATGATCTGCCAACCAATCCAAAATAAAAAATTTTGAATATTTAGCATCACAGAGACAGTATAAGTGTTGGTAAAAAGTTAAGAACTCCTATAAAATTCTCTCAACAATCTCAAGCAGACATTTTAAGCTCAAATAAATAAAATGTTTCAGAAAGTGATTTCTTTTTGTAACCTTTCATTTTTTAATGTTTTACATGAAAATGGAATTATAAAAATATACACCTATAACCAAAAATGCCTAGCGTAATATCTGTCTAATTTTTCGAGTCGTTACATTATGTTACCAGACGTGGGCCTGGCAAGTGTTTTCATTCTACGAGATTTAAAATCTTATGTGTTATTTATTATACATTATGTAAGATCCTTATGTAATCCCTCAAACTATAACTTGAACAAACTATACAATATAATAAAAGTAAACACAGTTCTTAAAATTTACTTATATACTCATATTATTTAGTTTGTTTTACTTAGTTTTCTTTTTATTAATTTTATCATTTTGTGTCAAAAACGTCTGCAATTCAGTCTTTAAAATTCTTGAGCTGTACGTTACGTTATTAGTACCAAGACTTTTATTATCGTCACGATTTGGCAAGTGCTATCTCTGCAGGAGACTTACGATTTTCGATTTTTCATTTACTATCAACGGGAAAAGGCAAATTGGCATTTTTCAAAAGTGTTGACATACGATAAAATTTTCCAAACTGAAGCAGTAAATGGCTTAATTAAGCAAGTTAAAATCAATAACAATATTTCACAATAATTTATCCTGAACTGAATACAAGATTTCGATTTATCGATAAAAGTAAACATTAATTTTTTAAATATATTTAGATGTCGGAAAATACTTAATTCGATTTTTCAAAAATTTTGAATTAATGATGTTTGAATAATCGAATGATGATATTGTCACACAAACTGTATCTAAATTTGTTTGATTGTAATTAATTACTAAACTATTACTTGTTTAACGTTTATGTGTTACCTTTATTTATTAAATATCTTGTTCTTCGCACTTAATCGTAAAATTCAATTCAACAGTAATATCACAAAACATTTAAAAAAAGCTTAGCTACAGAATTTCCGATACACAGTCTCATGCGCTGAAGATAAAATTTCCTTTTTCATATAACGTTGCCCTTGTTCACTTTGAAATCGTTTAGTTTGTTAATAAAAAATTCGTTAAAGTTTAACAAAATATGAAATAGATAATAAAACAACTTCGAAATTCAAAATTCGGGGGTCCAAGTGCCCATGTTCGGGTAGAGGATTACGTTATTCAAAATTTGATGGCTCTAGGAATCGTTGTTTATTTGCAATGCAAAGAACATACATTTATGCAGATTCTTCATCATTTATTTTCTTTAAATATAATTCAGGGCTGTAAAATTTGGTGGCAAGAATTTGCAAAGTGAAATTCCGTTTTTTAGTGGGCGATGCAAAATACCAAAACGAAATTAATAGCCCTTCTGGGCAAATTGTCTCTTTGGGCCAATAATAATAATGATTTTTATAGACGAGCCCTTCAGTCTTTCAAGCGAAGATGAAAGCAAATCTTATAAACACTGTTTGTAAACAGAGACTGATGTAAGATAGTGCGCCACAACCGAGATTCATTTAGGACGTTCCCATTCTCAAGTGACACGATATAAGTAACTTTCTCTCAAGTCAAGGTTTGCTCTAACGGCCTAAGAAAATATGTCAAGGTTTTCAGTGAAACATGACGAAATTTTCTATTTCAAATGATCATCGCTAAAACATAGCACAAAAATGAAGCTCTGTTTTTTGTTTACCAACACTGCATAATCTCTTGCATTCATTTCATAATGTTCCTACTTTTTCAATCATAAATGAAATCAGCTTCATTTTTTAAAGCTTACAGCCGTTATTTCAGGAAAAGTATTGCTAAAAATGTGTTCGAAACATCCTCTCTGTATGTACTAAATAGATTCTTAGTAACAAATTGTAATATTTGTTGCGTTTAGATATATGTGATAACTCGAATAATTATTAGAATGGCTCTAAAAAATTGATTTTTATTAAATCTTACTACTACACAATAAATTAAAATTCACCGATGGTCGCGTCACTCGTTCGCACCAAGCTCGTTTCTCGTAAGCGCAACTGGCTGACTTCATGGGTAGAAAGTTCTACAAGAAGGTAAGTCATCTTTGGCAGCTCATATGCTCTGCTATAATTCACAAATACAGTTTAGCTCATTTAATCCAAGCAACCAGTAAACAGTGAATTCAAATAGGTCAGCGGTGCCCAACCTTGTGCTCGCCAGCCCGATTAGGTACTACGAATAAAAAAATATTAAAAAAATAATCATTCATTTATATTTCTTAATTGCTAAAATATGGTAAGCATTTACAGTCATAAGAGATATCTTGCAAGACGTTATAAAATAACTGATTGCTGACTGATGGACTTGACAGCGAACATGGAATATTATTGCTCCATTCCGATGTTTAGATGGCTCAGCAGGGTAAAAGTACTTCAACGGTTTGTAGAAGTTCTTTCGCCAATAAAGTAGTTTTTGAAATCCGGAAACGAAAGTTATAAAGAATTGGACGATAATAATTGGTTATTCGATTTCTCACGGATATAACAGCTAAACTGAACAAACTGAACGAAGATCTCCAGGGAAACGAAAAATCCTTTTTCAATTGACTGGGACTGTAACTGCTTTTCAGATAAAGTTAAATTTGTGGATAAATCAGATGAAAGAAAAAAAATTTCACCCGTTTTTCATAATTTATCAAGCCGTATTACGTAATAACCACAAGGCAACTGAAACAGAAAAATACTCGGAAAACCTAAATACACTGAAAAATATTTTTGAACTCTCTGCTTCTCTGATTTCCATAAAGTTCAACCAATATTATTATTAATCTCAAACCCACTTGCCGAAATTAATATTTCAGATGTATTACATAAGATTGGAAATATGTTTAACAAAAATTTTGACGTTTTGGAAATGTGCTCGCGATAGGCCAAAATGTGCTCGCGAGAGACCAAAGGTTGGCCACTACTGAGATAGGTCTACATAAGATTGATGACATTTAATAATAATTTCTTAAGAATTTATTTTATTTTTAAGACCATATCAAAAACGTTTATTAAAAGCGCTTATTACTAACAACAGATGCGTATCGAATTTCCGGAGACACACATATGTAACTTGGATTCCAGACAGTTTCGCTTAAAAAATCCTTCAGGAAGGCATCCCTCCCACCCTCTGCTCAGCGACGCACATGGAAGTGTCAACGGTATAACGGCATCCGCGTAGAGAGGCATCGAGCAGAAAGATCTTCGGAAGCTTGCGTTCTTCACCATCATAACGGCCAGCTACTGGATACAGAATATGAAGTTTCACTACACATACCATTCGTTTCTAGTTTCAATATCCTGTATATTGACCAGCCACCGTTACATGACCGAAGATTTAATGGCCGTGGATGAGCCATATCTTCGAGCTTCCGTCGTCCTGCCTTTCAACAGGACAGTGAGAGTAACACAGTACTGCGTTTCCTCAATATACAAGGATGTTAGAATCCTGCCTTAGCCGATGCATCTTCCAAATCTCTTGCCAACTGAAAAAGTCTGATCAGTTGTTGGAAAGATACTGGACCAACAACATCCGCCTACCACCAGATAGATGAACTCTGGCGTAAACCTGAAGCCACACGAATTGCAATACTGGTAACTGTTTTAACTCTATTTGACGCCATACTCAGCCGTCTAAGAGCAGCTAATTGCGGATGCTAGAGGTACCGATTTTTGCATCTTTTATAATTCAAAGATATCTGAAATTTTCTTTATGTCATCCTTCCTAGATATATTTTTGTAAAATAAATATCATTTTCTTACTGAAACAATTTTAATGGCCAGCCGTGAATTTGTACCTTTTCGAGCTACCGTATAATCAAGGCTTCTTTCCAACAATTGAAAAACCGAAACATCCAAAGCGAAGCGTCCAGATACTAAACAAGATTATGGCTAAATAAAACATTATATAATACGATTTTCTCTGGCTGTACAAATTGAAGCTGCGTGCTATATAGTCAGTGATGATGCCAGATGTGTTTTCCAGCATTACCACACAAAGCAGAAATTTCATGACGAAATACAGACATTAAGATATTAGTTAATATTAGGTAGAATTAATTTTACATTCGAATAAATATTTTGTGTATGTGAGTGTTTGTCTGTGTAAGTTGACCAAACTTTTCTAATGCCATAAGCTTTCCTCAACCTTGCCCAAACCTCTTTTGATAGTTATTTACCTACTTTTGATTTCAATTAATTGCGTTTTCTTTCCCTGTTACAGTTTGGAAAATAAAGACAAGTTTCATCTAGCACAACTATATTTTTCTATTTGAATCAAATTAAAATATATTTCTAATAATAAATATTAAGATATTTGTAATCTGATATTCTCTTAATTTGGCGTTTTTCTTGTTATGTATGTAGCCTTTGAAAGCTAATTGAAGGTCACGATGTAGTTTGTTTACTTACCCAGTTATTATTATTATTATTATTTTCGCATTTTGGGTTCAACGACGGCTATCAAAGTCAATTCAAATCAAATCATTTTAAAGAATTAACTTTAGTATGCTTTTAATACCTTTGTCACTATGTTTTCTGGGTTACAATATTCTGTGAAATGG